CAAAAAAAGGACTTTTATAACAGATTCCTTTAAAAAGTACTTCCATCAAAAGTTTCAGTTACACCAAACGAACCCTTAATTAGCCATATCCAGTATAAGCGGAGGCCCAAATGAACCAGATGAGAAATGGAAATCACCAGGGTATCCATTGCACAAGGTGTGTATGCACCAAAAGTAGGCATTTTCCCCTCATTTTCTCTCAAAGAAGTTAGAACCCACCTCATCTCTGTTGAAGAATTTTCAAAATATTTTCAGGATTTGGGTTCGAACCACAAAAATTGGTTCGAAGCAATTGCACAGAATGCATTTGAGAAAGTAAAATTTTGGTTCGAATCATAATTATATGGTTCAAATCATTTACGTAAAACTAGAATCCGAAAATCTACGATTTTGGTTCGAATCACATTTATCTGTTTCGAACCATTTACGTTAGAATAAAAGATAAAATTCAGATAAGTTTCTGAAGAGAGTAGATAACTTTGAAAGGCAAGGAAACACGTGAGTTGGAATTCAAATCAAACCAAATGACTTTGAAGAGTTTCCAATGGATAAAAATTAAAAAGAAGTGTTTGTTCCCAATAGACATCTTGAAAAGAAGTGTCTATTCCAACATACATCTTGCCCTATAAATATGGAGTTATCTCTTCTTCTTTGGTAGAGTCTTTTTGAATCCAAAAATATCTAAATAAAATAGCCCATTTTTGTATTGCGATTGCTCAAGAAATCCCTATACAAAAACTAATATTTTGTCGCTTTCTAAAGGATGGTTCAGTGGTTGATCTTGCTAGTGCAAAGGCTGGATCAACAAGGCACTTCATTGTATCTTATGGGCATTTCGGATTGCCCCTTTTGCATACCAGATCTGGTGGGAGCAAAATTAGCCTAAAGAAAGTGACATTTGCAACACGCCTTGAAGCCAATGATCTAATGATTTATTTTCTAACCCCCTATTTATCCAACAATCTTTAGGTTAATTTTCCAGTTTTTTGAGATCATGGCTTATTGGATAATTGAGAAGAAAATTGCGTTACAAAATGCATGTGAAGCCAGGGAGTTTTGGCGTGTGATAGTGACAAAAGGAAAAGGGATTTCTGGTGTGATTAACTCATCTACAAAAGTGGTGGTTTATTAAATTGATTATAGCAATCGTGTGACAAAGCAATCGTGTGACAAAGCAATCATGTAATCAAATTGTCAATGAGTGACGGTGGATGAATCAACCACAGGATGCAAATAAAGTTTTTGAATTATAAGGTGATGATGATGCATGATATCAACGCAAAAAGGAAACAAAGTGCAAACAGATTGAAACTCAATGCAGGAGGAATAGGTACGCAGAATAAGTTTATGCTTTTGATTGCCATGAATTTTTCGTATAATTTTGTTTTGCAAACAAAATTTGAGTGGGTTTATAAAGGAAAAAACAATGCTCATGATCTAAATACATGAGTTAGTTTTATAAATTAATTCTTCAAGTTTGAGTGATGGTTTCATATCATTATCTATCAAATCTCTTTGAATGAAACATTGCATTTAGTGATATTGTTTCACAGACTGTTCATCCATGCTTATCTCTTGTATCTATTTAATTAAATATGAGGAGAAAACATCTCTTGGAGAATGGCTTCAAAGAAGTTATCAAAGATGCAAATGATTGTGCAAAGATTCATAATTAAACGTCATTTGGCATAATGAAGCAAGAGAAATAAAATGGGTCTTTAAATCCCATTTGGAGGTTAAATAAATCTCAGACTTGATAGCATGGTTCTTGGTTGTGAGAAGGAAGATATTTATGGATTTGAATATGATCATGTTTTAAGATCATGATTGTGCCTTGATTTTGAGATTACTAATGTGATAAAAATAAAATTCTATTTTTCTTTTCATTTAGTAATGATTATTTACTGTTCTTTGGTGAATACTTATGAAGCTTTATGGAGTTTAAGTAGTATATCTTACTTCTAGACCTGCTCTTATTAAGGTTTGCTTAAGGGTTATTAAAGTCAATGGGATTTCCTTTACTTGGATTATGTTATAAGCATGTTTATGTGTATGACTGTTTTATTGAGTTTTGTACATGTGTTAAGCATACTTACTGTTTTTAATATGAGGCTTGTGGAAATATAAGAGGCTAATGAATCTGGTCATGTTTCATTAATGAAAGGTTGCTTAAAGCATATTTCTACTTGTTACTTTTAATTCCTCTTATTTATGCTTGTAAGATTATATACTAGTATATGAAAATTGAAATAAGTGAGAGTCAAGTCTCATGATGGTTATTTAGCCATGTTAAAGAAAGAAATATTGAAATGGGATTTGGCAAACCCATTTGGAGATCCAACTGATGATCTTAGTTTTAATATAAACTAAGAGAAGAGGGGCCAAGTAAAAAGGGTCTCAATTTTGATAAGGCATGAAGGATTTTGAATCCTTATTTAAATGCTATCTCTTAAAGAGATAATTTGTAAAAACTAATGCAATCTTGTGTACTTGATTCATTTTTGGAAGCTTGGAAAGATGGTCCAAAGGATAAAGAAATATGGATTTAAAGAATCCTATAAATAGCAAGAGTGAATACCTCTTGGTCATGGAAAATAAATCTAATGATTTGAGTTGTTCCAGAATTTTTGGTTCAAATCACTCAAAGATGATTCGAACCAATTACGTAGGAAACTCATAAAGTATCAAGAAGATTTGAAACAGTTTTTACTGTCCTAATGTGCCTCTAATGAAGAATGTTAATGTCATAAAATTGACAAACAATATTTAAAATGGTGGGAACAACCCAGGAGTGAGAGGAATAAGGACTAAAAGTCCTTGACACATGAAAAGCAAATAAAATTTAATTTGAAGTGGAGGAAGCAAGAATTCCACTTGTTCATGATATTACAAGATTATATGGCACTGTTTAAAAGTGACAACACTTGTTCCTGAGAAAAAATGATAGCGCTTGTTCTTGGAGATGTCTACACTTTTCAAGAGTTCATATTATTTTAAGACATTTTTATATAAATGTGTATGATGACTAAAAATAATAGGATGTCATCAAGTGCTTATAAAGACATTCTTAAATGAGGTGATCACCATAATCTTTGCAAGGTCTTGTGTGAATTAACTTCATGAATCCTTTATTAAAAGGATTATCAAAAGGAAAAATTCACAAGACAAAGAGAGGGATGGGTCTCAAGTCCATTGACAAAGTCACACATGATGGAATCTCGACTTAACGCTTGATAAAAACTTCAAGTCTTAAGTTCAATGAGTAAAGTACATCATATGAATGTGACTGCAAGTACTCAATTTGTCAATAATACCATCCCAAGTGGAAGAGTACTTGGTAACCACATGAAACAAAAAGGAGGATGAGTTTTACTCTTAATAGGTCCTATAACAGATTTCTGTTAAAGTGCTTAATGTGGTGGCACTTTTGATGGGATCTACCTATATGAGTGGAAGTGGTGCCGCTTCTAGGAGTTAGGGACTTGACTCTAACAGCACTCATGAAAAGGGTACAGGACACATGGCCAGTTTTTGTGTCGGTGGATACTGAATTCCTTTTTTGGAAAGCTTGAAGTCTTGTGTGTGACATGTGCCCAATTAATCACTTAGAATCGCTGGTTCAAAGCATTAGTCTACCATGTAATTCTGATTAATTTGCCAACACATGTTCACTAAGTGAAATGTTCAAATCGTAAGATACCTTCATGTATGCATAAGATTTCCAAAACAATTGGTGGGCTATTCTATTTTGAAAATGGTGGGGGAATGTTGAAGAATTTTCAAAATATTTCCAGGATTTGGGTTCGAACCACAAAAAGTTGGTTCAAAGCAATTGCACAGAATGCATTTGAGAAAGTGAAACTTTGGTTTGAATCATAATTATATGGTTCGAATCATTTACGTAAAACTAGAATCTAGAAATTTACGATTTTGGTTCGAATCATATTTATCTGATTCGAACCATTTACATTAGAATAAGAGATAAAATTCAAATAAGAGATAAAATTCAAATAAGTTTCTAAAGAGAGTGGATAACTTTGAAAGGCAAAGAAACACGTGAGTTGGAATTCAAATCAAACCAAATGACTTTTGGAAGAGTTTCCAATGGATAAAAATTGAAAAGAAGTGTTTGTTTCCAATAGACATCTTGAAAAGAAGTGTCTATTCCAACATACATCTTATCCTATAAATATGGAGTTATCTCTTCTTCACTAGTAGAGTCTTTTTGAACCCAGAAATATCTAAATAAAATAGCCTCTTTTTGTATTGCGATTGCTCGAGAAATCTCTATACAAAAACTATTGTTTTGTCGCTTTCTAAAGGATGGTTCAATGGTTGATCTTGCTAGTGCAAAGGTTGGATCAACAAGGCACTTCATTGTATTCTATGGGCATTTCGAGTTACTCCTTTTGCATACCAGATCTGGTGGAGGCGAAATTAGCCTAAAGGAAAGTGGTATTTGCAGCACGCCTTGAAGCCAATGATCTAATGATTTATTTTCTAACCCCCTATTTATCCAACACTCTCTAATCATACCCGTCCAAGAAATTGATTCACATAAACAAAACAGTTAATCTGTTAAATATATATATATATATATATATAATATCTTGAGGGGCAAAGCTTTTAAATTGCATCCCAAAACATACTTCTCCTACGTCAAAATTAAGAGCAATGTAAAACCCAAAACCCGGAAGTACGAGTTCCTTAACTTCCACACCCAGAAACCAAACAGAATAA